TGACTCAGTGAGAAATAAATGGTGTTGTAAAGAGTAAGGTGAAGCATCCATGAACAAGAAACTATATTCAATATCCTGTGATGAACCATAATGGAAAAGAATATTTAAATAAAGAATATATATATATATGTAAAACTGAATCACTTTGCTGTACAGCAGAAATTAACACAACATCGTGAATCAACTGTACATCAATAAAAAACAAACAAAAAACAAAGCTGAGGCATCCGAAGAAGTGTAGTCCTTTTCCAAACATTGGTTCCAGCCTCAGTGCTGTCGCTCCAAGAGCATGTGGAAAACCTCGTGGATTTGCCTTGCAACTGATGGCATTTCTCAAACATCTTTAATGATAGTGATTGTGTGTCCTTGAAGTCAGTTTGTTGTTGTTATGTTTGTTTTCTAAACAAGCCAGAGTAAAAGTAACTTGAATAAATGGGGACATAATCCTCCCAGTCGGAAATGAGGGAAAAATCACGAAATCGTGAGACTGGTTTCCTCATGTGAATAACCCACATCAGGAGGTGGCAGTAGAAGAGGAATCTGTAAAATGCCTGGGCATTGGCGCCGTGGCCAGCCAAAGGGGCTAACCTGAAGGAAAACGCTAATTTCAGAGCAGATCAGTCTCGCTCTTTTGTCATGCATACCTTGTGTCTTGACACTGCCTCCTTTCAGGATTGCCTTCTATGAGAACCCCCAAGTGGGAATCCTTCTGACACCCAAAGGAAGCAGAAAAATAACAAAAGGGATAAACGTGTGAGTTCTGGAATTAAACCACCTAAATTCAGATCCTGGCTTTACCCCCATGCAGGGGGGTAGGGGGGGCGGGGGTGTGGGTGGGGTTCTGAGCTAGTGCCTCTCTCTCTAAGCCTCAGGTTCTTTGACCTAAAAACCAGGAAAACGATAGCAACTGCCTCGTGTTGCTCTTGTCAAGATTACGTGATGAAATCCATGTAAAGCACAAGGTGCCTAGCAAATAATAAGCTCTGTTTTAACGATTCCTGGGATTGGTTTTAATCAAGTAGGTGAGACATATAGGCAAAAAATGACTGCTGTGAAGAGGGAAGTTTGTCAGATTCACAGACCTAGAGAGTGAATTTGTGGTTACCAAGGGGGAAGGGTTGTGGGGAGGATAGATTGGGAGTTTGGGATTGACATGTACACACTGCTATATTTAAAATGGATAACCAACAAGGACCTACTACTGTATAGCACAGGAAACTCTGCTCAATATTATGTAACAACTTAAATGGGAAAAGAATTGGAAAAAGAATAGATACATGCATATGTATAACTGAATCACTTTGCTGTACACCTGAAACTAATACAACATTGTTAATCAACTATACTCCACTATAAAATAAAAATTTTTAAAAAGAGAAGTTGGTTATAACATAGGTCCCTTGAAACAGGAGGCACAGCATGCCACACAGAGGACCACAGTGGAAAGCACCAGGGTCAGTCAGGAGGCAGGTGGAATGAGGGGGAAACATCGGAGGAGGTGGCTGGATGTTAGGGCTCTGGATCGGTTGGTCTGCATGTAAAAGGTGTGCTCCCAGGCAAGTTGTTTGCTATTTCTAGGAATTAGGTAGTCCTGGGGAGCATAATCTCTCCTGGGTCATTTGCTCCTGGGTTATCAAGACCTCAAGATGTCAAAGCATTAAAAATACAGAATAAAAAGATATGATTAATATAGACACTCATTAAGATCTCTCTTATCATCATCATCATTATCATTATCGTTATGCCCTCCCAGACTTCTCTTGTAGCAGAGCAAACTAGTGGTTGTATATAGCGTCTGTGCTAACATCCTGGAATTTCATTAGTGGTGGTTTGATGTTAACTTGAGTTTAGTATGTGAAAACTAAAGAGTAGCCTTTTTTTTTCCTTTGATAATGATCCAAGCATTATTCAAGAGCTGTGTCTAGGGGCTTCCCTGGTGGCGCAGTGGTTGAGAGTCCGCCTGCCGATGCAGGGGACACGGGTTCGTGCCCCGGTCCGGGAAGATCCCACATGCCGCGGAGCAGCTGGGCCCGTGAGCCATGGCCGCTGAGCCTGCGCGTCGGGAGCCTGTGCTCAACGGGGGGAGACAAAAAAGGGGGGGGCCCCCGAATTGCAAAAAAAAAAAAAAAAAAAAGAGCTGTGTCTAGTCCTGGATTTCAGATTTTTTAAGAAAGTGGAGAAACTGGAAAGGATCCTAAGAAGAAATACTAAAGGTACAAAAGAACCTAGAAAGAAAGGTGACAGATGCTGTGATTCGGTCTACAGACAAGGTACTGGGAGATAACTTGGCAGCCTGCAAGTACTGGTTCCATTTAAAGAAAAAAGAGAGATTGTGTAGACATTCTTCATATTCGACGATTATAGAACGAAATGGAGCAGGCTCATTCAGCCTCAGTTAAAGGAGAAGAAAAATTCAGCGTCAGCTAAAGGAAAAGCAAATAATTCCTGATCCTAGGCACCTGCAGTGACAGCAAACATGGAGGGTCTGAAGGTGGTGGAGTCTCAAGAAGGTAATAAACACCTTTCAGCCTTGACAGAGATTATGTGTCTCCGACTCAACTGAATACCTAGACAGGGGACCTCTTGGTATCTCTTTCTAAGGATTATCTGCCTCTGTTACCATTTATATTTTCTTGAATTCTCTCCACTAAGCCCCAAAGAAAGCTTTACTTCTCACTTTCTTGTCAACAGAGGAAAAAAAAAAAAAACCCACAGCTTTTTAGATATTTTGAGAAGAGAGAGATTGCCTCACAGAAGAGGCCAGACTTGATATCAGGGAGGTTTGAAGTACAATAGACATTCTGAGACCCTGGGCCCCCAGCCTTGCCCATGTTGGTCAGTGAGCAGCCTGGCAGAGAGGTGGTAAGAGGTCAGTGCCTGTCCCTCCCATCCTAAGTTGGTTTCCAAAAGGAAAGAACTGGGAACTGAGGTCATATCCATCATAACCGTGACTTAATCCACCAAGTCCCCAGCCATCACAGAAGAAAGCAGATGTACTGAATAGTTCTTCCTGAGTAGCTCACATACCTTTCTACCCACATACTGTAGAAAAATCAGAAAGCACAGATGAACAGAAAGAAAATTAAGATCACTCATGCCCCCACCAACCAGTGCCAGCTGTTCTTTTCACTCGGCATAATTTTCCAAAGTTTCTTCCATGTTAAATATATGGATTTTCCCTACAAAATTGGATTATGTTGTGTTTAGTTCTTTAGCTGTTTTTTTTATTCAGAAGTATATTTTTAATAACCTTTTTATGTCAATAATTGTATTTCTAAAACACCGTTTTTAAAGGTTGCTGAATGTATAGATATCCAGTATGACTCTTACAATTCACTACTGTTGGACATTTAGCGTCTTTCTAATTTTTTTTTTTCCCTTACCGATAGTGCTGTGATGAACATCCATGTAGGTAAATCTCTGTACCATTCTTAACATTCCTTTAAAACATATTCCTTAAAGGGTAAGTACTGGTTCAATGGATAGGCATGTTTTTAAGGAGTTTGATAGAACTGCCAAGTTGGCCTCTAGAAAAATCTTCTGGTGAGAGAGTGCTCTTATCAGTTTGCCCAGCACTCTGTCACTCTGTTAGTTCTTCAGGATTTTACCTTACCTTCTCCACTAGTGTCCCCTTGGTTGGGATCATCTGTCTTTGCCATTAAAGATTTGAAGGTGACTCTACTCTTGTGTACCTTCCATGGCTCTGCTTCATAGAAATGACTCTGGTTACCTTCTTTTTTTTTTTTCAGAGTACATCCCTAGTTTGGAAAACCACTGAGAGATAAGTAAACAATCAAAAGATAACCAGAAACAAACCCCCCATATGTTTGGAAATTAAGAACTGTGCTTGTATAGATAAACAACAATATCCTACTGTATAGAAGAGGGAACTATATATATATATATGTATATATATACACACACACACACATACATATATATGTAACTGAATCACTTTGCTGTACACCAGAAACTAGTACAACATTGTAAATCAACTATACTTCAACTTTTAAAAATGTGCTTCTCAAGAACGTATGGATTAAAGAAGAAAGCTGTTGAAAACTAGAGCAGATTTCAGGTTGAATAATCATGAAAATACTACATAGCAGAACTTGTGGGTTGCTACCAAAACGTAACTAAAAGGAACCCTTGCAGCTTTAAGAAAAGAAACAGCAGTGAAAATTAATGAGCTACTAAGAATCCAGCTCAAGAAATCAGCAAAAATGAATGGATCAATGAGTGAATGAATTAGTGAAATCCTTGAGGTCAGTGCTCCTTACGCATCTTAGTACAGCTCCTTATTTCCAAAACAGTGCTTACTAAGTGGAACTTGATGAACATCAGATTGGATTTGTTCAATCTTCAAGGCCATGATTCTAAACACAGGATATTTCCAAACTGTCAAGGGTAGAGTATTCCCAGTCTGACTGATCTGCCAAGATAATCCTTCCAAGTGTCACTTAACTTCTTGGGGCAGTAGATTCTGACTTGAGGAATGGAAGACGCCTAAAAGATGGTGGATTTACGTGGTCTGGTTGAGATGAGCAGTGTACCAGGATTGCAGCCACCTGTGTTATGGTGAGGCTGCACCTTCTTATCTCTGGACACCCCAGAAGAGTGTTTTGTGTGTATTCTACTAAAAATGTTTTGGAGATAAAGGTTAAAGATAAGTGCCTTGGTACCGTTTCATTAAGCACACAGCCTTTGATCATCAGAGACCAAGAAGAGGGCCCAATCCTGTGCCTTCTACATAGGCAGCTGTCTGCTGCAGTTAAAGAAAGCTTTGCATGTGTAAGGGACACAGGATTGGGCTCTGGGGATCAGTTTTACTCGAGGAAAAAGAAGTGACTTTAATTTCATTAATGGTCTCCAGGATGATTGTGCTACCAGTTTAATTCTCCATTAAATGTGCATGCTGCGTGGCGCTCCGTTTCTTGCCTTTAGTATCATTCAGCTCCAGCTGACACTAACCTGTTTTCTATTTCATAACTGAATCACAGGGCTTTTTCAGGAGAAGTCAGCAAAGCAATGCCACCTACTCCTGTCCTCGTCAGAAGAACTGTTTGATTGATCGAACCAGTAGGAACCGCTGCCAACACTGTCGATTACAGAAATGCCTTGCCGTGGGGATGTCTCGAGATGGTGAGCACCCGGATCTGCCAGAATATGTCCCCTCTGTCCCTCGACCCCCTCCACCCCTCCCTCCTCTGGCGGCTTTGTGGGTGTCACAGCAGTTACTTCTCCTCCATAAACCATTCCAGTCAGCTCACTGGCTGATGGGGGGCTGGGGGCGGGGGTGGCATGGAGGAGAATTGTCTGTGTGGTCAGAACACCTTCAGATTTTTGACGTTTAAAACAGGGGTCCCTTGGGCTTCCCTGGTGGCGCAGTGGTTGAGAGTCCGCCTGCCGATGCAGGGGACACGGGTTCGTGCCCCGGTCCGGAAGGATCCCACATGCCGCGGAGCGGCTGGGCCCGTGAGCCATGGCCGCTGAGCCTGCGCGTCAGGAGCCTGTGCTCCGCAACGGGAGAGGCCGCAACAGTGAGAGGCCCGTGTACCGCAAAAAAAAAAAACAGGGGTCCCCAGCCCCCAGGCCATGGACCATTACCAGTTAGGAACTGGGCCGCACAGCAGGAGGTGAGCGGCAGGCCAGCAAGCTAGTGAAGCTTCATCTGCCGCTCCCTCATCGCTCGCATTCCCGCCTGATCTCCCCCCTCCCCCGTCCGTGGAAAAATGTTCTTCTATGAAACCAGTGCCTGGTGCCAGAAAGGTTAGGGACTACTGGTTTAAAACATTACATGTGGATGAATTGATGGAAGGTAAGTGTTAACCTGAGGGTCTTAAAAAGGATACCTTCTAGAAGCATTTTTCCCCACAGAAGACACAAGCCAGAGCTAATTGTTACATGTCTTACACTAGTAAGGTTATTGCCAGTTGGGATGAATTAGCTTTTATGCTAACTGGATCCAAAGTCAAACGTTTGTACATACAGTATGTGTGAAAATAATGCAAAGCATGCCCAAGTGACAAATGTTCTTTTCATTAAGAGAAGCTATTTTAAGAACTAGAGACCATCTACCATTTATTTGCAAAACAGTTCAGGATCTTCCTGGAAAACTGTCTTAAGTGCATGGAATAATCAACACCAGATTTCAAGACTATTCTTATATAAGGAAATTGGGCAGTTAGTGTAGTGGATACATTTTAAGGACTTTTCCAAATATACTGGCTGGCTGGTTCTCTTGAGAGATCTCTTTGAAGGAAACATCTCTTCCAATGGAGTTTCAGCCTGTGGAAAAATAACTTCAGACTGCTGGGCAGGCATTCTGAAGGTCTCCTTTCCCCATAATCAGATGTTCCTGGGGCCTGTGGACCCACCCAGGCACAAGTTGTACACAGGGTGACCTCTTAGAATTTGTAGGACCAAAGTGAAGTTTTGGGGATTGGAAGATGCAAGTCACAGAACTCACACTGCATTCTCAGAAATCCTGTGATATGCAGCTCTGCAGATTTCATCTTCCAGTGGCACTAAACTCACAAAATTAGGTATATCTCTTATGAATCTGTAAGTTAAAAATCACAAGTTGTGTGTGTATTTTCTCAAGACCCAATCCAGGGACTTCCCTGGCAGTCCTGTGGTTAGGGCTCTGGGCTTCCACTGCAGGGGGCGTGGGTTCGATCCCTGGTCAGGGAACAAAGATCCCACAAGACGCACAGCACAGCCAAAAACAAAAAAAGCCTGATCCATTCATTTCACTTATGGGATAGCATGATTACTGTTGTTAATATTAAGAAAACAGTTAAAACACAATTCAGAGTCATAGCAGAACAAGTTTCCCCTATGGGTATTAATCCCCTTGGGGGTTCCAGAGTATTCTTTTCAAAAAAAATTAAGTACCTTCAGTATGCCTTGTGGAGATTTCTCGTATAAGTGACAGCACACTTTGTTGTGGACTTGGAGTGAATCTGGGGACTTATACAATTATAGGCCTGAAATTCAGAGCCTACATCAGCCTGACTGCTATCTAACCAGCCCCACCCAAGTTTGTCACCTGAGTTGTGGAAACTGGAAATTGACCAGAATCCAGCTCACTTGTTTCCTCTGTGCAGAATGAAAGCACATCCTCCTTGGCAGGAAAAAGATCCACCAGCTGGCCTGGACAGTGGGCCCTGATTCCCAACTTCACTTCCATCTATCCTGCCTCCTGCCCCAAGAGTCATAGAATTATGTTGATGGTCAGATGGGTGAATTCATCCACCTGGTCAGGTATCAATTTAACCATAATCAATTAGGAGGTTTTAATCCCTCCAGCAGCGGCTTTATCTACACATACAGAGTCAGGCTGAGAAATAAATGGGTTAGTGGGGGGTTCAGACCAGGAAATCATAGGATTTTTTTTCTCAATTATCTGGGTGTTTTAGGAGAAATCATTTGGGATACTAAATGAACTGGAAAATTACTCCAGTCACTGTTCCACTTTAAATATGGGGACACATCTCACGGAGAAGGGCTGCACACACAAATTCTCCCGATGGGGATCTTCCACAGAGTCTGCCCTTTCCAAAATTCTGATATTCTTTTTACTTGAGGCTAAATGAGTACAGCAGAAAGTGTCCTTTAAAGATGGATCCAAGGCATGGAAGCAACCTAAGTGTCCATCGACAGATGAATGGATGTAGAAGATGTGGCACATATATGCAATGGAATATTACTCAGCCATTAAAAGAAACAAAATTGTTATTTGTAGTGAGGTGGATGGACCTAGAGTCTCTCATACAGAGTGAAGTAAGTCAGAAAGAGAAAAAAAAATACCGTATGCTAAAAAAAATATAAGGAAAAAAAAAAAAAAAAAAAGGTTCTGAAGAACCTAGGGGCAGGACAGGAATAAAGACACAGACATAGAGAATGGACTTGAGGACACGGGAAGGGAGAAGGGTAAACTGGGACGAAGTGAGAGAGTGGCATGGACAAATATATACACCACCAAATGTAAAATAGCTAGCTAGTGGGAAGCAGCTGCATAGCACAGGGAGATCAGCTCCATGCTTTGTGACCACCTAGAGGGGTGGGATAGGGATGGTGGGAGGGAGATGCAAGAGGGAGGAGACATGGGGATATATGTATACATATATAGCTGATTTACTTTGTGATACAGCAGAAACTAACACACCATTGTAAAGCAATTATACTCCAATAAAGATGTTAAAAGAATAATAATAATTTTAAAAAGGCAGGTCCAAGGGTCTCACAGGGACCTCAAGACCCAGGAGCAAGAGAGGGCATAGACTCAAGATATGTAATTCATGGAATTGCAAATGCTTCGTCCAGTCTGTTGAGCTTTCTCAAGGAAGCCCCAGATTTGGCCATTTGATCAGGAAGAAACTCATGTGAGCATACGGATTAGTGAAATGAGTGCAAGTTGAGGTTTGACTGCTTGTGCCCCAGTAACACCTCCGTGAGTCTGTGCGTCCCTGTGCTTTGGTCTGAACACTAGGAAAAGAAACATCTAGACCATCTACCTGGGTAGAGAGGGAACAAGCCCATTAAGTCGCATTTCAGTAGCTCCTACTGAGCCTGGGGTTGTGTGACAGCACAAAAACATAGGTGGTCATTGCTCTGGGTCTCTTATACCAGCCCTGGGTCTGTTTCTGAAACGCAGCTCCTCTGTGATGTGTCTTTGCTGTTCGGGATGTGGAACAAGCCTGTGTGAGGTGGGACCATTTATTTTCACCTCAGGATCACGTCCTTATTTTGTGGTTGTGTGGTTTTTGATGGAATTGTCTGCAACGTCAAACGAACTCCTAAAGCATGTTGGAGAGGATCATGGAGAAAAGCGTGTTGTATATGGTGTGTCTTGGCTTTTTTCTTCCAGCTGTAAAATTTGGCCGCATGTCGAAAAAGCAACGAGACAGCTTGTACGCAGAAGTACAGAAACACCGGATGCAGCAGCAGCAGCGAGACCACCAACAGCAGCCTGGAGAGGCCGAGCCGCTGACTCCCACCTACAGCATCTCGGCCAACGGGCTTACGGAGCTTCACGACGACCTCAGCAGCTACATTGACGGGCACACCCCCGAGGGCAGCAAGGCAGACTCTGCCGTCAGCAGCTTCTACCTGGACATACAGCCTTCCCCGGACCAGTCAGGTCTTGATATCAACGGAATCAAACCAGAACCAATATGTGACTACACACCAGCATCAGGCTTCTTTCCCTACTGCTCTTTCACCAATGGAGAGACGTCCCCAACTGTGTCCATGGCAGAACTAGGTAATGGCTTCCGTGTTTCCATTGGGATGGACTACTTGTGCCATTTGAAGGAAATGGGATTTGTCTGACTTTCCTTTAATGAGTTATGTTATTAAAATGATGCATCTAGAAGGGAGAGTCACCTTTACCATTTGGACCACTTCATAATTCCAACCTGCCCCCTTGGTTTTGACTGTCCACTGTTTCCCATCATATATCCAAGAAACTCAGTGACCTCTCAGCATCAGAGCTGAGACAATATGAACTTAAAGCAATCTTTAAATTCCACAGAAAACTGTAAGTTCAGGGAATGGCCCCATTAACTCCACTGATTTAGTTATGTTCTAAGTATTGCTTTATACCAAAAGTTATAAAAATAGCAACCCACAGACTTAACCTGGCACATAGACATGGGTTTTTGACCAGTGCAGAGCTTTACAATTTTTGAATTGGTTGCTAAAATTTTAAACCTGGACAATTCCACCTGAAAGTTCAGATTTTCAGTTTCTTGTGGAAGGAAAAAAAAACATGATCTGGTTACACTGGACCAGCATTTGGGAATGGCAACAACCAACTGGTACCACTTAGGGCCTAACGCCTTGAAATGGGCCCATCCCACTCTCGGCATTTATATCCCTGCCCAGTCCCCGTATGCATCTACGTTTTGCAACTCTGACACATTCTATAATCGTTAAAGGGAAATTGGCTTCTTTATTTGCCAAAATGTTTTGGTGATGGATATTAATGCAAAACTGATGTATGTCATAGAAGACTCACCATGCCAAAAAAAACCCCCACAAAAACCTGTCATTTCCTTATTCCTGTGACATTGGTGCTTCTTGGGAGATGTGACCTAGAAATGTTAACACAGACAATGGAAAACTTTTCATTTCAAGGAAGTTGTGTTATAACATCCTCTGTTATATTTAATCGATTTTTAAGTACAGCACTATTATTAGAGAAACTTTGATAAGGACCTTTACTGTTTGAGAATTTGATCTACTCCTCCCCATGGTTCCTCACACAAGGTTATAATCCTTTGGGATATTTCAATTAGTTGCTATGAAGATGACTAAGTTAAGACGAAGAGAGAAGGAAGACTTCACATGGAAAAGAACCAGCAGGTTCTGACTTGAGCACAGACGTCCTTAGTTCACAGAAATAACGGTTGTGTTCTTTAGACGGTTTCTCCACCTCTGTACCCCATAAAACATTTTTAAAGTGAAATTTATATTTCCAGTAAAATCTTTCTCCAAATAGAACAAATTGAATGTTCTTTACGGTTTTTACACAAGCACCTCTTTATGGGTCTAAATTTAAATCCTCAGGAGCAGGGACATTTTAAGCCTGGTCTTTAACCACTGAACAGCATTAAAGGTGTATCACAGCTCTTTTGATTAACAGAGAAACCTCTGAACTAGAAGCCAAGCTGAGCCAGAGCTAGGCTTGATTTTTTTTTTTTTTTTCTTGAACTAGAACAAAAACCTTCCGTTTTTGTCGTGAGATCTTGGTTGACTGAGCCTTAAGCAGAGCTGTAATGAAAGTAAAATTTTCAGAAATGAATAAGGATTTGATTGAAAACTGACATGATACAGTGAAAAATGACCTGGCTCGCTTTAGGTTTGCTTCTACTTTATCATAAATACTAGTGAATCTATGCCATTTGCTTGTCGAATGTTCAACCCAGAAATAAACTCACACCGCTTGGCCTAAGTGTGTCCCTTGAACATGGCACTTGGGCTAAATGTGCACTAATACCTGAGTGGAGCCAGAAGTGGCGCAGCCGATTTCCCCAGCCCCTCCTTCACCCACAAATCCCTTTCCTCTTCTACAGCTGTCACCTCCCAGTGAGTCTGAGAGCCCTGTGCCCTCATCCATTCTCCATGTTCTCCTAAGCTACGGATTTTTCACACGTAATTGTGGCATTTTTTTTCCACGATGAATAAAACTAACTTATCGCTAGGATTTGCCCCAAACCCAAAACTAAACAAGAATTTCGTTGAAAGGGATATAATGGAGCTCTGATTTTCTGTCCCATTTAGAGGTGCAAAATAGTTTGAGGAGCTAAGAGTAGCGTAAAAGCAGCCAGAGACCTTGCTGCTACTTCTTCAAAGCTCTCTGAAGTTCCCTGACATTTCCTTGGGGGCTTAAGTCCGACTCTTTCTTTAACTAACTTGACTTCATTTTAGGCTAAATTTTATCATCAGATTTGAAACAAATGAAACCATTTGTGCAATTGGAAAATAAATTGTAAATTAACATATCCTAAGCTCAGTTCTATCTTTCAACAATAGTACCTACTAATCCATTACCGTTAGTGGAAATACATCTGCATTCCTGGCTATGAAATTTTGCCCTTGATGTACACTTAGTACCTGAATTATACATTCCAGATAAACTACCTAGGTTCCTTTTTTAAAAAAAGCTAACTGGGGAATTCCCTGGCGGTCCAGCGTTAGGACTCAGTGCTTTCACTGCCATGGGCCCAGTTTCCATCCCTGGTCGGGGAACTAAGATCCCGCAAGCCGAGCTGCACAGCCAAAAGAAATAAAAAATAAAAAAGCTGACTGCACTTATGACTATAATTAATAACTAAAGCCTTGTACATAAGAGATAACAGATATGTTGGGCAAAGCATGAGACAAGAAGTCAGCTTCTGTGGGTTGTGGTCCTAGCTTTGCTGTAGGTTGTACAACCTAGTATAAGTCATGTTACCTCTGCAAGCTGCAGTCTCCCTACCCATGGACTATAAAGATTCAGAGCATAGACTCTGGAGCCAAATTGTGTATGTTTGGATCACCGCCCACTTGCCAGCTATGACACCTTGAAAAGTCACTTTACCTCACTGTGGCTTGGTTTTTTCATCTGTAAAATGGAGATAATACTAGTATCTTCCCCCTAGAGTTGTCGTGAAGATTAAGAAAAGATATTTGTATATATACACAGTGTATATATATATATATATAGATGTAGTAGGTATATTAGTCTGTTATATGAGTCTACGTTATATAGAGTTTACATGGTAAACTCTACCTAAGTGTTAACTTTTATCATCGTTGTTAATGTTATTACCTACAAAGTGATGAGAGTTTGGACTAGATGATACCTAAAGTTCCATACCACTGTGAAAATCTGTGACTTTCTCAGAAGACAGGATTTTCCATCTGAAGTATCTAGACCTTGGCTGTCCTGATGAAGCCATCATAGTTGAGGAGGTGAACTGATTTGCCTGTCACAAAGTGAGTTACCCAACTGAGCTCAGACCAGAAACCAGGTCTCCTAACTCCTAGTTCCAAGGTATTTCACTATTCCAGACTGTTTGTCTGAGAGACCACACTAACTTCTTAGCTTTTACTCAGTCTGACCATATTCTCCTTTGCTGAAATGGAGACTTAAAAACAGCACAGTGTCTAAAATCTTACACTTGCCAAATCAAGTATGAATTTTGATCAAAGGCAGCTGGTGAGAATGCAGCCACTGCCCTCTACTGGTCATTGGACATTGCATCATTTGTTGTCGCTTCTAAAAGCTGGACTCAAATAGGCAGGGATGGGTGGGGACAATTTTTAGGATGAAGTGAAACAAGAAGATGCTGACCATATTAACTGGAAACAGAGCATGATCTGGAAGAGAATACTGTGAGCTTCTTCCCATTCTTCCCTTCCTAGGATTCTCCCAGCTTCCCTGTGAACACTTTGCCTTCATCATTTCTTTCATATTTACAAAAATTGAATTTACTATGTACACACTTATTTTCTTGTTTCTGATCCCCCATTATTTTGTCTTTATTCCCCTCTTCTCTTCACACACGTCACTGACTCTAAGACATAGACATAATTTCTTTCTCTCTCTCAGTTTCTGTCTCCTTTAATTTTTTTTCTTTCGTTTATGTTTTATGATATTTACTTAGGTTGTTTTCATGTCTGTGTGTTGCCAAGTAGAGCTGTTAAGGTTTATTGTGCTTCAGTGTTTCAGAATCTCTGAGGAGGTTCTAGTCTCGAGCTTTGTTTAGGTGAACCTGCTCTGTTTTCACACAAACAAATCTGATTCTGTTTGACGTAAGCAGTAACAAATTTCCAAACAGACACTCTTACTAGTGTTGCTAAGTTTGCCCTCAGCACCACTGTTTTAAATAACTTTCCTATTATATATTCAAGACCCTGGGAGGGGCATCACTTTGGGGTATGGTTTTGTATTCTTGGAGTCTTGTCAGTTCTTCTTTTAAAATACTTCTTGAGTTGTCCTTCCCTTCCATAACAATTATTAGCAACCTGTTTCAAGCTCTTAGTCCCTTACATCTAGATTTCAGCAGCCTTCTAATTGATCCTCCTGCCTCCAGTCCACCAATGACAAAACTGCTTGTTCTGTTTCCCCAAATACAGTGTTCAGCATGTCAGCTCCCTCTTGAGACTCCTCCTGACTCCTTTTGTTAATCAAGTCCATACTCTCAGTCTCAACATTCAAGATCCTTCAGGATGTGGACTCTTCTCTACCCATATTTCTGTTTTGACACCATCACTTTATCACATCTTCCTGTCTCCTGTAGATGCCATATCCATTCTTTCATCTACCATCCCTTGAACGTGGAACTGGTCCACTGCCTCACACACTGGCCTCTGCCTACCAAATCCTCCCCTTCCTTCAGGGGCCAATCCAAATGTTCCTCTTCTGTCAAGAAGCATCCCCTAACTCCCCTCATCTCTCTGATAGCACCTATTATGTTTTTATTTTTCTTTCTCTTCTAGTAGAATTCAACTTCATGCTTTATTGTCTAGTGTCTTGAATTGTCCTTTCAGCATGTATGTACATGTTCACCAAATTATAAGTCCCTAGAGAAACTTATTTGGCATCTGTTTCTTTTAATGTCTTCAAATTCGGTACACTTCAGGATAATAAGAACAAATGTTTATGTAGTAGATGCTATGTTATCCTCTCTATTCTAAGTGCTCAACTCACTTAATTTTCACAGATGCCCTATGATAAATAGGAAATTAGGTACTATTTTCCTCATTTTACAAATAAAGAGACCTAAGCGCAGAGAGGTTAAGTAACTTACCCAAGATCACACAGCTACTAAGTAGCAGAGCTGAGATTCAAACCCAAGCAGTCTGGGTCCAGAGTCCATCTCATCTCTTAACCACCACACTATATATATATATATATATATATGTATATATATATATGTACGTATATATAGTGACATAGTAGGCTTCAGTAATGCTTGTTCTGCCATTTTTGTAGGAAAAACAAAAGAAATACCTAGTTGTTGTCCCCCAAAAAATACCATTTTCTAATTTTTCAAGAGTAATCCTCCACCAGTCAATGTATATGGCAGATCTGTCTTCATAAAAATACCAAGTACAGGTCGTGTCAGTCATTTTTCACACTTCTCTAGGTCAATATTTTCAACTCCAACATTCACTCCCAGATGCTGGTGTAAAGGCACAGAGAAGGTCAGGTCAGGAGGGTCTTTGAAGATGCCAAGCCTTATTGCTAAATGTTGGCTTTGCCTGTCCTTTATCCTCATGTCCCCAAATATAGAATAGTTCCAAATTGCTTACTTAAATATGTCGAGCTCTTTAAAACTGGTTCAGCCATGTTGCTTTATACTTGTTACTTTTTAAATCAGATATTAAGTAGGGAAAACCCTGAAGAACTTGGCTTTTCATGTTGTGATCTCCTGTTTTCTCCTTAGAACACCTTGCACAGAATATATCTAAATCACATCTGGAAACTTGCCAATACTTGAGAGAAGAGCTCCAGCAGATAACGTGGCAGACCTTTCTGCAGGAGGAGATTGAGAATTACCAAAACAAGGTAGACTGAAGAATTTTACCTAAGATCGAGGCAATGTTGGGAAGGGTGTTTGTGCAGGAGGTTTGAATACAAACAGACCAAAGAATGAATGTTTTTCATCAGATAGCAGATTTCTATTTAAAAATCTTTTTTCCAGAGCTGATCACGTTCTTGGGGCTTTATCACCTTATTGAGATGTCAGTGTGCGAAATTTCAGAAATAGCACACAGATTCTATTGTTCCTATAACTAAACACATATGTCCTATCATTTGTCAACAGGGAGCTAGATTAAGGAGCTTCCAAAAGGCTCAAAGAATTGGGATTTGTCCCGATATCGCAATGGAAGATTTCACGGTCCAGAAGTTGATGTAAAATAATCTCAGCCTCATGGTTCCGAAGTTTAAAAGGAGGAGTTTAGAGAATATGTGTAAAAAAAAGTTTGGAAGCTATGATTCTAATTCCAGTCTGAATCTAGCAACATGAGGCTGACAAGTAGTACTGCCAGTTACCTTTTTCTATAAAACAGCCTGATCAACAAATTACCTAAATGGGAGGGCAGGGCTGGAGAAGGAGGGCTTTTAATTTTCCATTCTGCCTTTAGTAAAAGAAAATGCTGTGATTTTTCCCAGTCATCGTAGAAATTCAGGCTTAGGAAGTACCGCAGAGATTATCAAGGTTAATCCCCCCTTCATTTTACATGTGAGGAAACGAGCATCCCCTGGCCCATGGCTGAGAGTGAAAACATCAGGACTAGACCAAGAGTCCTGGTTCCTAATTCAGTGTTTCTTCCATCCTGTTGTATTGGTAGAAACAGCCTTAAGCTAAGATTGGGGAAATAAGTGAGCAACAAGATGGATCCAGGCTAGCCTGTAACGAAATTGGAGAGTGGGTATATAAAAGGAGTTAAACAGGACAGGTTGGGGGAATAGCAGCGCATCACCTTGTTTACCTTTGAGATAGCAGGTAGCACTAGCCGCCAAAATTACAAAGGGAAGCAAGAAAGCAATAAACAGCAGCAAGGTGTGTGAAATGGGATTCAGAGTCAGAAATGCTGGGATTTGAATCCCACCTCCAGTACCTCTTAGCCGTGAAACCTCTGTGAGCATTTGTGTCCATTTATGGGAAATGGAAAAACATTCTTGTGAAAATGAAATGAGACAAGGATGTCGTAAAGCACCCAGCTCATAGCAGGTGCACAATAAATATAACTGACTCCCCTTTTCTTCCCTTCCCCCAGTAAAGTGGTGTGAAATTCCCCAAGGCAAAATAATTGTTTATAAGGAGATTCTACTTTGCTACTCTCCATGGCCCAGGGTTAAATCAGTGGCGTGAGTTGCTTTCTTGACTCCCGTTTTCATCTTCTGCTGCATGTGTGCTCGTAACATCTTCCCCCTGTCCCTTTGCCACCAAAATGGTAAGAGAGGAATTGGAGGAGACCAGGAAGAACTTGGAAGCAGTCATTATAACGGAAGTAACTGGCCAACTGATTATTTTTAAATCCTCTAGCTTTTTTGGATCCATTTCCAAAGAAGGATTTTACACAACAGGAACAGTTAAAACAACTGTGTCAAGGGTATGGGTAATGGGGATGTTAATGTGTTTCCCTCTTCAACAGCAGCGGGAGGTAATGTGGCAGTTGTGTGCCATCAAAATTACAGAAGCTATACAGTATGTGGTGGAGTTTGCCAAACGCATTGATGGATTTATGGAACTGTGTCAAAACGATCAAATTGTGCTTCTCAAAGCAGGTATGTGCTTTGCAAGTGAATTTTGAGATCTCTGACTAACCTGCTTTCACCGGCTTATTAAAGAAATGCTTGGTAAGGAAGGTGTCGAGAACAGTTTTTCTCCAAATGGTAATAGCTCAGTTTCTCTTAGCAGAAACTGAGAGGTTTTTTTTTTTTTTTTAAGGTTTTTGAGCTATTTGTAGGAAACATTCCCTCCATTTTGCTTCTCCTCTGGGTGAAAAGATTAATTTGAAAGACACCTGCATTCCACAGTTTTAACCATCACCTGTGTTTTGTTTCTGTGCCCCAGGTCCTCAGGAGGTTTTGGTAAGCTGTTTGTTAGGAAGAAGGCTGTTTGTGGAACTCAGAGAGACATCCCTGGGTTTTTGTTTGTTTTAATAACAGGAGTCCATGTTTTTCTCGCAACTCTGAGATTCTGTATTATTGCAGGACAGAGAAGTGCCCAAGAAGTAATTCATAAATCAGTCTCTCTTCAGTAATACAGGCCTTAGCTTTGGCACAAGTCTTTAATTACTCTAATGAACTCTGCTCTTTTAAATAGAGAGCTAAGGTGACTGAGAGCCTGCTAGTTAAGCCCAGCCCCATTGACTCAGAAAGGGGTCTCTGTGGTCAAAATCAACTCACCAAGGCAATAACCCACCCCGTTTCTGCCTTTGCTCAGGTTCTCTGGAGGTGGTATTTATCAGAATGTGCCGTGCCTTTGACTCTCAGAACAATACCGTGTACTTTGATGGGAAATATGCTGGCCCCGACGTCTTCAAATCCTTAGGTAAGGAAATCTCTGGGTGCTTTGTCTTCAAATCAGGACTAGGGGAAAAGATGGGAGTTGGGTGAAAGCTCTTCTTGAACAAAATGGAGATTGGTTTTTTGGACACAAGAGTTAAAGGATTTTATACCTATGTTACTTTATAGTTAATCACCATAGAAAATATACACAGCTCAAATGCTTTTTGTCTATGTTACACGTAAGGGTCTAGAGTTTCATTTTATCTAATTGGTAATCGAAGAAATTTATGTTCTATATCCTTCCAGTTCCCTTCCAGATTTTAAGAACCAGGTTTGCAGGGGATATATTATTCAATAAACTAGAGGATGTGATTTGCTACATAAAATCAAGCAAGGAGCTAAAAGCCTGCCCTTCCATACCCGTTAAATAGCAACCGTTAATGAGATATCAAAGAAAGTATAGCTAAGTGAAACTGTGACATATACTTTAAAAATAAATTATTTTAGATTTCTGTAATTTAAAGTAAGACAAAGTCATTAAGAAGAATGGGACGGTATCCAAGATATGTTAAGTGATTTTAAAAACAATTAAATGACGGAAGGTATGTATACTTGAGGAGAGCCCGTTGACACTTTTTTTTATTTATTTATTTTTGGCTGCGTTGGGTCTTCGTTGCTGCGCTCAGGCTTTCTCTAGTTGCAAGGAGCAGGGGCTACTCTTCCTTACGATGCGCGGGCTTCTCATTCCAGTGGATTCTCTTGTGGCAGAACACAGGCTCTAGGCGCACAGGCTTCAGTAGTTGTGGCACGCAGCTCAATAGTTGCGGCACGCGGGCTTAGTAGTCGCGGCACACAGGCTCGAGGGCGCAGGCTCAGTAGTTGTGATGCATGGGCTTAGTTGCTCCATGGCATGTGGGATCTTCCCAGACGAGGGCTCAAACCCATGTCCCCTGCATTGGGGGGGGACCACTTAACCACTGCGCCACCAGGGAAGCCCCTAGCCTGTTGACATTTAACTATATGTACATAATATGGAAATCTGAAAGAACAGACCCCAACTTAACCAGCTTTGTGGGGGTGGGTTTTTATTTTATGGGACTTTCACATTCTGTGTTTTCAGTTCTGTAATAGTTACAATAGGGACTTCCCTGGCGGTCCATTTGTGAAGACTCTGTGCTTCCAGTGCACGGGGCATGGGTTCAATCCCTGGTCAGGGAAGTAAGATCCCACGTGCCATGTGACACGGCCAAAAACAAAAAAAATTATAATGGTTTTACCACCATAATGTGTCACTTGTTTTCACTTTTAAGCGTGTTGTACATAGAATAGAGTAGAAAACAAAAAAATGAGTGACGTTAACATTTCAGTTAGATTATAGCTGTTAGACTCTGTTGGTTAAGAGTGTGGGCTCTGAAGTCAGGTAGCTGGCTTTGAATCTCAGGCTGTCACTTCCTACTTGTGGAATCTTCAGCACATTCCTTTTCTTTCCAAGTCCATTTCCTTGCCTTTAAAATGGGGATAGTAACAATAATACCTCCCCCATAGGGCTGTTGTGAAATAGTAGAATCCCCAAAGAATCCTCTCAGAGCAGCACCTATCACAGTAATCACACAACAGAAGTTCACTCTCATTATTGCAGACGATGATGGTGGTGGCGATGTTGGTGGTAATGGTGATGGTGGCTAAACTGATTTTTCTTTTAACATTTGAAAGTATTAAACTATAGAAATGTTATTACTATTCCCTCTGATCTTCAACTGCTAGATCCCTCTTCACCTTCTTCCATATTTTTCTCCTAGGATAATGACCAAACTCCTAACCTGTCTTTAATTTTGGCAGGTTGTGAAGACTTTATTAGCTTTGTATTTGAATTTGGAAAGAGTTTATGTTCTATGCACCTGACTGAAGATGAAATTGCATTGTTTTCTGCATTTGTCCTGATGTCAGCAGGTAAGATAACCAAATACAATGGTTTTTAAATTGTCCAGGTAAAGAATTTCTACAAGTACATAACTTACAATGGCTATAGACTATTCAGAGGGACTGCCACCCTTATTAAGTCTAATTTTAAGTTTTTCAGACAACAGTCCCCTGCTACACACATACATATACATGTACGCTTCTAAGAAGACCTCATGCCATTCTGATAAAATCTTAAGAAATGAGAATTGAATAAAATCCCATCTACAGTTAACCTCCTGCTACCAAGAGAAATGCTGTGGTAGAGTAGGTGTGCCCTTTTCCACACCAATCTCCAAGATAACATGGTTTTTAAAACATTCTACTTTTTAAAGAAAATCCATTTGGATGTCATCCACAAGCCTATCTGAATTTAATGTATGTTTTCAACCAGTACTGCCTCTTGGTGATAATCACTTTTGCAAATTTGCTAACTTCGTTTTGGAATTCTTAAACATAAAGACTTTATCCTAAATTAACAACCCTAATTCATTTGGCACTCTCTTGACAATTTCAGTTGCCTTAGACTCTAAGGCAATTTTCATATTTGCCAGAAAGACTTAGCAGGATTGATATGAGTATGTCATTCAGAAACATAGCTATTAGAAAGGCTTAAGGGCCATGGTGGTTTCATTTGCGCTCGTCCGAGCATGGCCTTAGATTTAAATGGCTGTCTTTTTGGAAAGGGAGGATCCTTCCTCCTTTCAAGTGTCAGTAAAGATGGAAAGGCTTAACACTCTGTTTTGTAACTGTCCTAGATCAGTTTTTCACTCCTTTAGGAGCAAATTTTGAAAGAGGGGTGAAAGTGGCCCGTTAGTCCCTGACTCTGCAGTGTGGTGTAATAATCTGTATCTAGGAGTCAGGAGGAGTTGGGGTGTTCTGACACCATGTTGGAAGAATACTCAGGAGTATGGCTTTTCATGTTTAGATCGCTCATGGCTGCAGGAAAAGGTCAAAATTGAAAAGCTGCAACAGAAAATTCAGCTAGCTCTTCAACACGTCCTACAGAAGAATCACCGAGAAGATGGAATACTAACAAAGGTGAGAACCAAAGGTTTCCAACTGACAAGGCTGAATTATCCCTTGCCCAGATCACGCCAGCCACGTTTATAAGTCATGCCGCCAGACCCCAAAAGTATCAATAAGCAATGGCCTACTGAGAAGAGAGAAGTATCCTCATTTCAAAAAATTATCTTGGGCCAAAATTCAGGTTAAATTCTATTTATTATCATTGGTTATAAAGTGTCCTGGAATAATAGAGCAATGATTGAGTTTTTTTTGAAGCATTAATTCATTCTGAAAAATCCTCCACCTATCCCATCAAAGATGGGCAGAAGGCAGAGTTAATGTCCTGCCGTGAGATAAACTAGAGAATTTAGAATTTAAATCTTTGACTTTAGAAAGACGAAGTTATGAAGGACTAAAACAATAGAATTAATCTATTCTAATATTAGTTCTAGTTCCATTAAAGTCATTAGTAATCAACAGTAAATGACTTTTGTATTTTCTTCATCAATTTCTCATTACTACCCTGTATTCAAAGCATAGGGTTTCATTTTTGCTAATTACTGTCTTAATAAAAATATAATTAGGATGTCAATTTAAAATATGATAATATCCTTCAGTGATAGTGCTAGTAGTATGTATTTGGTCTTAGAAAAATCAGCCCTATTCTTTCTTGGATTATTTTATGTGTTCTATTGTTCCAGAAGATGATTTGAAAGGTTTGGATTTTTCTTCCTGTCTGTTTTCTTTCTTTTCTCCTGATAGCTAGGTTAGGTCAGAAAGGGGAAGTTGGGGAGTTAAATGCGGTTTTGTTTTTGATTTTGCCCCTGTTAAATGAGACACTGAGGCAGGATTGGGAAAGAGAAGGAAAAAGAACTTTTCTCCATCTTCTTGCCCCAGTGCAAGGGTACCATTAGGGTCTTTGATTATAGAGAGCACCTAACACATGGCCAAGATCGATGCTCTGGTGAAAATGTTTCTTAGGATTATTCTGGGTGGAGATAATAAATATTTTGTGCTGTACAGTGCTTTAGAGTTTAAAAAGCATTTTTGCAAGTCATGTTATTATACTCAACAGGTAAATAGTCAATGCTGAGACTTCCACCAGGCCTGCTGACTATTTTTTTTTGTGTGTTCCAGTCAGGGCCTTTCGCTCAGACCCAGAATTGCTTTGTTCTAGGCAGAGCTCTTTCTCCAGAAGAAACTTGTTGTCACTGGAGTCGACTAGTACTCATTTTGCATAAAATATGTAGGTGATGCCATCATCTCTAGTTGCAGTGACCTCACCTACCGGTGGCTGCCCCCTTGCCCACTTCTCTATTACCACATGTCTTCCTTTTCCCCAGTGGTAGAGGGCGGGGTTCAGGATGGTAGAGCAAAAAGCATGTTTGAATAGGAGGAGGAGGTGAGACACTTAGGTTCTTCTGCTTATGAACATGTTTTGGGGTTATAAATTATTTGTCTTCAAAATCATATTTAGTGTATACCTGGTATTCTGTGATATGACTATATCATCATTTATTTTTACCCTTCCTCTATTACTAGACGTTTAAGTTGCTTCAGGTGTGTTTCACCGTTGTAAACAATGTTGAAGATGATCCAGATGCCCTGATTTTTGATTCTCACGTCTCTTCTCTCCTGACCCTATGTCCTTTCTTCCACTTACAGTTAATATGCAAGGTGTCTACATTAAGAGCCTTATGTGGACGACATACAGAAAAGCTAATGGCGTTTAAAGCAATATACCCAGACATTGTGCGACTTCATTTTCCTCCATTATACAAGGAATTGTTCACTTCAGAATTTGAGCCAGCAATGCAGATTGATGGGTAAATGTATCACCCAAGCACTTCTAGAATGTCTGAAGTTCAAACAATGAAAAACAAACAAACAAACAAATTAACCAAGACACTTTATATGGCCCTGCACAGACCTGGAGCGCCAACACACTGCACATCCTTTGGTGATCGGGGTCAGGCAAAGGAGGGGAAACAATGAAAACAAATAAAAGTTGAACTTGTTTTTCTCATGCATATGATTTCCATTATGCCTACAGATATGGACCCTTTTTCTGTCTCGACTTCTTGATCATTGACCTCTGTTTACAACAGAAGGCGGGTACTAAAGTCAGAGGATGTCCTTTTTTTGTAGCTCACTGCCCACAGACTTTCTACATCTGTCGGTAACAACAGAGAGTCCAGCACTAATCGGTGACTGGTGTGCATAGCGGAGGTTGCGGCATTACTTTGCACAACTTGCTCTTTGTCTCATGAAGGAAGTTTTTATTTTTTCACCGATTATTGCCAGTCAGCAGGATGGCACGAAAAGGGTCCATAGCACTAGCAACAATAGCATTATAATATATTACAGGGTAAATGGGCATGAAGACTATATATAGCTAAAAGAGATATTGTTTATATATTGTTTTAATTAATATAAAATGTAGTTACTGGTGTAGCTTTTCCTGTTGAATTGATAAGGCACTTTCATTTTGCACCTTTTTTCTTTAAATTAAATGCTAGCGTGTTCACTGTCGTGTCGCATGTGCACCAGAAACACAAGTTTAACTGAGAAGGCTTGGAAGGTACGTCGGGAGGTATTTATGCTGCTGTTTACACAATTACTTTTAAAAGACTGGCTGGTCATATCTAGAAATCACGCTGTTGGATTAATTTTTTTTTTTTACACATGAATTTGGAATTAGAAACAGAACTCTCCCTAAATTGTACTTTGCTTTTGGGTCAGTTTAAGGATAGATGTGTTTATGCTTCATACAAAGTTGAGTGATTGATTGATTGGTGCTGTGGACTTACACCCTCGCACACAGTATTTTTTAAAAGCTTTTGAAAATGCCACCTCATTGAGGCAGGGGAAGGGAGGCTCATTTTGCACAGCTGCGTAGTTATATAGACTCGGCCTCAACTTGGAGTTCTTAGGCTTTAAGAACAGATCAGTAACCAGAATATTTATCAGAATCTAGCTTTTATTAGAAGAAAGACCCAAAGATTATATCTGGAGCAAATGCACACTCCCCATGTGAAAACATGAAGCATTTACTTTGTGAATGTTTATGTTCTTGGTATAATCTAGGAACCCTGAGAGTTTATCTCAGAGTGAATGGTTTCTAGACTAACTGCCTCTAGATGGTGTCATTCTAGAACACTGTTCTCCATATTTCATAGTCAATGGATAGGAGGGCAAAGGAGGCGTGCAATGTTGAACCAGTTTCTCTTATTTAAGTATTAAATATTTTAAGCCTTTAAAGTGAAGTCGATGCAAGCTGCAAACATTTACTTTTGTATTTATCTTCACTAGAAAACTGTGGACTGTAATTTATTTTATTAAATCTTTAGAAGATTGTTTGGCTTTTGTGTTCAGGTGAGAAATATTGAGTTGTTTTTTTTTTTAATAATTTTTTATTAATAATTCCCAGTGGGGGAAGGGAGAAGGAACAGTCTGTTAGACAAGTGTGCATATTTTAAAATAGGTGACCTTTGGGGATGTAGGCATTTAGATGATGATTTTAGTCACACTCGGAATGGGATTCAGACTTCTGGTCTGCCATCGAAGACCATGTTTGTATAGAAAAGAGAACATTTCCCGTAGTGTAAAGGTGGGAGTTTCCAAGCAGCCGGGTTACAGCGAAGAAAGCATCTCCCCTACCACCAGGGTCCCTCCCAAATCTTCTGCAGGAATTTGGCTCCTGCTGTCGTGCTGGGTCATCAAGCAGGAGTTTCCCAGAGTCCTCCACTCTGTTTTTAACTCCACTCTGCTTTCTGAATTGTTTCCTGAGGGACTTGGAAACGGGGAAGGAATTATTCACACCGAAGTGTGTATGAAGCCTAAATGACATCTAAAAAATTGTTTTTTCAAAAATATAGTAAGGGTTTCACCATAAACAGAAGACGAGAGTAATATTTACTTAAATTTCTTACAAGCATATAAAACTTTATGGGACTTTATATAGAGAGGTAACTATCAGCATATAGTATTTATATTTGGGCAAGAAGGGTTAAATCAAATTTTTTATTTAAATAAGCATAGTTCCTTGAAAGATCAATAGTATTTATACTCTGAAAAGAGTACCAAGCTTAGTTCGGTTATTTATTTATCCATTTTTTTTTTCCTGTTGTTTCTCCTTTGGGGGGAAATGGTGTGTTTTTATTTTGGTTTTGGTTTGTTTTTGCTTTTTTTTTGTCATTCTGATTCACTAAATTTGGGGATGGTTTTATTAAAGTCTATTAACTTCTTTTTAACCAAAGCTTTCTGAATATGACCAGCCTCAGGTGCTAGCGCATTAAAGAGCAACTAAACCTAATTCCAGTGTCCATTTGTGAAATGATGAGAGCTAATTGAACTTCTCTGAGGGTGAGAGAGAACACAATGTTGAACTTAAATTCCTTTTCCCAGAAAGGATTTTGCATGTACCTAATGCAAAAAAAAAAAAAAAAAAAAAAGATGCTCTAATCTCAGTAATAGTCACACCATGGTGACATTGCTTTTAGAGTAAACCAAGATACATTGACATGATGCTGCTACTAGGTCTTTGTGAAAGAAATACAGGGTGTGAGACTTTAAGACTAAGTACATCGACAGTGTAGGAACAGAGTAGAGAGTAATAGAGGCGTGCTAGGTGAAATGAGGGAACAACTATTATTCGGATCGAAGTTGGGATCTGAAGTTAAACAATAATCTCTTGAAAAAAATATGAGGTACAGAGAAGGATGTGAAAAACTTTGTATTTTTATTTTCTTCTTTATTATAGAAACACCTGTGTGATGACACAAAATACTTGGTGATATAGAACAATTATTATTAATCGTTCTTATAATTAAAATTTCCTAATCTTAAATGTCCAATAGTCTTTTGAAGATTGGAATCACATCATTGTTATCCCGGCTGCTGTAATGCCTTTTATACAATATTTTAACATAGGGTAAATAAGGCTTTTGCACAGAGCCTGAATACCTTCGGTTACAGTGGTGTCCAAATGATTGCATTATATTGTGAAGAAACTGGCCGTGGTCACAATGAAATCAAAAGTGCAGGTGAAAGTGCTTTTGGGGGCAGTTTGCAAATTGCAGTTAAAGCTACGGATTTTTTTTTTTTTTTTAAGTGTTCAGCATCCCAATTTGCTTTAAAGGTGTGGGTTTTTTTTTAAGTCTTCAGCATCCTAATTCACCCTTTCTAACTTAAAGAAAACATGACTTAAGACACTGCTTCTAAGTTTGGTTGTTCTTTATAGTGTGGATATTCAGATCTCTGTGAGTGTATGGGGGTGGGCTGAGGGTCAGATGAGGAGGGAGCGTGTGTGTGTGTGTGTGTGTGTGTGTGTGTGTGTGTGTGTGTATGTGTGTTTATGTCTGTGTGTATGGTTTTCGTGTGTATGATGTGTGTGTGTGTCGAACCGCTTCTAGGCTACTAAGTGTCAATGGAAAAGAAAATGTATTCAAAATACTTAAATCAAAACTAGAAGATGGAAAAAAAAGATTTATTCTATACAAAGCCTTGTCTGGACCACTTTAGAGAGACTTCTATTTTTTTAACCCTTCTATAAATATTTGATGGCACTTGAAATATTCCTGCAATAAAATGTGATTTGTGTAAAGAAAAAAAAAAAGATTTTGTAATGTGAAACAAAGAAAGAAAGTAATGTAATTTTCTAAAAAAAAAAATACAAACAAACAAACTTTGTATTATTTTCTTGATGGAATTTGTCTATCTGTCTTTGGAAAACTTTTTATTTCATTGAATGTGCCATAGTAGAAATACGTGTTTTTAGTTTTAGACTTAAGGAATAGCTGTTTGTGTTCCGACATTCCAAAATGCAAAACAACCTAGTAGAATCTTTAATGAAAAGGTTTAAGTAGGATGTAAGCTTCTCTCATTGTTGCTTTTTTGCACATGTTCTTCATTCCTCTCTAGTGCAATATGTACATAGAGCACTTGCGGGTGTACCTTGATCCCTCAGGGAAAAATACATATTTGTACAGTTTTTTTTTGGTTTTGTTTCTTGTTTTGTTTTTTGTGGTTTTTTGCCTTTTGGTTTTGGCTAAGGAATGTCGACTGAATCACTTGTTATTGTTGAGGGGCAGCCAGATAATAATCCTAAAGCCACTGTTTCAAACATTGATTGTTTAAATCATGTGTCCTTCCAGTGCTATTATTTGAAGATAATAATAATAAAAAGTTATTTTCTGACAGTTCTTTGTGCTGATTGGTGAAAGAAAAGGGTAAATAAGCACCTTACAATTGACTTACTGTGAATGACAATCCATCTTGATATCAACAATAGAAGCCCTATCACTTTGGAGTTGGGGTTAAGAGTCAGAAACAATGTGCTCAGGGATCTTCTAAAACTCTTAAAACAGGGTGGCCAGTACTACTGGGACAAAATTGTGTTTTGTATTGTTAATAATAATGATAATACTATCCCTCCAAGGCACAAGTGAACTGTGTAGAACTGCGCGTGTGTATAAACTTCACTGTTGTTCATTTTGTTTTGTTCAGAATGTATGCGTTCTTCAGTCTTGTATGCTTAAAAACATTGAATAACTTCCAGAGCAGTACAAAGTGATGCCAGTATGTTCAAAAGATAAATTAATAGGTCATATATCAACAAAGAGCATCATTCAGAGTACAGTCCTGCCTACTCCACTTACCATTTCTCTAATAATTAAAATATTCTTGATAAATATATTTATAGCATTATATGTTAAAAACTATTATTCCAAATCCTGTATAGCATGGATAAAAATTTTGTAAAGCAGTAATGAGAGCCCTACCTATCAGTGCAGTGAGAGAGGTAAAAGATGAAACATTGTGGGGTTTTTTCCCCAAATACCAGCAAATAACTCCCATTTTCATCATGTTCTCCTCTAGAAATAAACCAGGAAAATCTCTTTATGTAACACGATTCTTCTACTTACCGCATTTGTAATCTGTACGAGAGAGCTAATGTTTAAAGACAAACAAAACCCACCAGTGTAACAGCAATGTGAGCCAGCTTTTAGTGTTACATTTTACATTTTTGAAACATTTTGAAAGTAATATTTTGATATATTACTTTCCATAAGGTCAATGAACATCACTGTAATTGTTGGCTTTGGTTCTTGCAAACCTAGAATATACTTTCAGAAGAAGCTTTACATGTTTTCTTACCACCACGGAAAAGCAAAATTTGTGATAACTTTCCATGTGTTTAGATTAAAAAGAAACCATCACTTTGTTTTGATGATAAAGACTATGGGAAATGGCAGATCTCTCTCTCTCTCTCTCTGTCTCTCTCTCTCTCTCTCTTTCTCTTTCTCTTTCTCTATCTATCTATCTGTATATACACACACAGACGTTATTGACGTACATATTATAACATTTGGTTGCCACTTCTTACTTACAAAGATATGACACAGCAGAACCCCATAAAAACAACTTTATACTGTGGATCAAATTATATGCCTATAAATGCAATTGCAACAGTAAATCTTCATCTGTTACTAAAAGTCTGTGATATGGGTCTTAATTGTATTCCCAAAACAGTAGTATTGTTAAAGAGGTTCCACCAGATTGGACAAAAGAGACCTTCCTATTATTGTTTATTCTTAAGAAAAGAGCAGGCTGGCAAGCAATTTCTTTACAAAGCAGTTGGTTTCACTTTTGGGTCTGTTTGCTTGTTTGTGTAATTGTGATCATTTTTGTCAGGCTCTCAGTACAGCTTTTAAAATAATCCAGAAGCCTGGCTTCATACCAAGGAGACATCGTAGATGGGGGGGGGGGAATCTCCATGTTTAACCAGACCTTCAGAACTTAGAGCAATAAATACATTCAGTCATTTATTTATTTATAAATGAATGACAGAATATTCAGTCCAAATAGAAACAATGTTTTTTCAGCAATGCAACATAACATGGAGTCTTACGTTAAGAAGGTGAATATGAGAATATTAAGTAGATGCCTAGAAAATCCACGTTTGCTGTTGACATTTAGTGTGTTTGCCACATTAGTAATATCACACTTCTTTTTCCCTTCTAAGAACTGATGAAAGATCTCTTGCTGTTAGCTTTGACATGCTGCACGTGCCATTATGTTGTTCTCTAAGAGCAACTAAATTCTTTGCAGTATTCGTGTGTGATTCCGTTCTCCCTCGTTATTACTTTAATGTGGATGAATACTATCTCTAGGAACTTGGTTATCATTGAACAGATTGCATATGTAAATGCAGATAATTCTTGAGCAATATAGTGAATCTGATTTCACACACACACACAAAATCCGTATGTACTGTACACATCTTCCTGAATCCAAAACTCTCTCCTTATCCACAATGGTTTGAAATCTCATATAAAACAGTGGTAAATTTTTAAACATTAGGACATTAGCTGGCTGCTTCTTTAAATGTACCTGTATTGTCTGCCTGCTCCTTTTGTGGAGATGTGTTTTTGTATTGGATGTTTGGGCCAATGGGAGGCTTCAAGCTACAACATATTTTCCCAGTTTAAATATATTTAACATACGACAAACCCCAGACAAGGCTTTTAATATGTATAAAGAACTGCAGTGTTAGGTGGTTTATTTGCAAACCGTTTTCAATGTTGTCCATTTTTATGGCACCTTTAACAATATTCTTGTTTCCAAAGTACAAAAAAAAAAAATAGGTTAAATAATCTAGCCATAACTGAATGTCAAGCAATAAAACAAATGACTTCTGTGCATAGACTTAAAAAAAATACAAATTTTAGACATCTGCATGTAAATGCAATCTCTTGTTTACTGCTTTCTTCAACTTGAGCAATTGATTCCTTATTTACTATTAACTTAAGAACTTGTAATGGCCTGTAAACATTTTCTCTCTTACTCTTCTTTCAAATTTACCTTCGTCCCTGCTTTTGAGTCATAATATTTAATGTTGTTCTGCACATCTCTATACAGTTAACTTTTTGGCTTTCATTCTGTATAGATAAGAAAATGTTATATTATAAACAGCCTACTCAGTGCAAATATTTATCTGTTTATCAAATCCACAATATGCTGTATGATACTGGTTTTACTATATAATCTATTTTAGACATAGCTGTTTAGAACTAGAGTGTGCTATTTTTGTGTTTTTCTGATGTGTGGTGCTAGATAAGTTACTTTTGTGAACAAACAAAAAAAAAACCCCTTTTATTCCTAGACAATACCACCTTTGGGTCTTGTTAATTTCACTGAGTATAACTATATATTTGTATATATATATATATATATATATATATATATATATATATATATATATATATATATATCTGTGCCCAACTGGCAGCTGTATCAGAGTGCTGGATTTGGGACATGCTTTTCTCTTTAAATACATAATATCATTATATAAATTATTCTAGAGTGTATTTAATTAGGATAAAATTACTTCCTTAGTATGGATATTTGACATCTATAGGGTGAATTTGTTCGTAAATATGGATATATAAAAACGTATTAGCATTTACTTTATGTTTGCTACTTGGCTTTATACCATATCTCCTAAGCTGAAAAATAATTTGCCAGGCCTTCAAGGTCCTAAAGAAACACTCTAGTTTAATGGAGTAATGTTTTTTTTTTTTCTTACTAAGGCACCTTATTATTGGCACCTGGCAGAGTTATGTATTAGCTCCTATTATAGATAATAGGCACTTATATAAAGTATTCTTGGTGGCTTGATGGCAGAATAAACCTTTCCCCTCCTACCTGAGCCATGAGAAGTATATAGACGTCCACTATCATGGCAGAACATTGGCCATAAAGCAACTTTGACAAGGGGTGTTCTGTGTTAACATGACCTCAACCAGTTCCATGAACTGAGTGAAGGACCTTCATTTTAAAAGTCATTTAATAATGAGCTTAGTTAAACTCTTTCACCTGTTCTTCCAAGACCTATCGGCATTGTTAAAAAATCAAAGTATATCAAATATCTAACTAAGGATGTAGTTAACCTTATTAAATATTGATTAGAATTGTTCTGTAATATTACTGAATTTGTAAGATCTTTAGCAAAGATTTTTGAGCAATTTATAAATATAGAGCAAATGTTTCTGTTTATTGCACTTTTTGTAATTGAAGGTGATAAATCCTCAAGCCATGGTTATTGGCTTCCATGCACTGAATATTTACCCACAATTCTAGACATTTTCCATTTTTATGGAAGAGTTGCTGTTACCTTAATTATAAATGCAATCATGTGGTTAATGAGAGCTAATGCTAATAGTTAACCTTTTAAAGTGAATTGGCTACAGTTTAGGGAGAAATCTCTTTTAATACAAATCACGTCATTCCTTATTGCTTCGCTTAGAAAGGAATTGAAACCTTTTTTTTTTTTTTTAAGCACCATTTAGTATCCTAAGCTTCCTGAGGATAGAGATTGTATCTCTTTATGTCTGCACAATGGCCAGAACATGTCAGCATTTGATCATTGTTAAATGACAAAAAGTATGCCCCAATTCAGACTTTTTTCCTGGGTTGTTTTGGAAAATTTATAAAATATGCCAAGCCTTATGGTTAAAGCTTTCTTCTACAACTAAGTATTAAAGCCACATTTTAAAAGACCACATGAAATGCTGATTCTAATTGTGTGTAGGTCTTGAGGATTAAGCACACAAATTTCACAAAACTCTGTGAGTAACAAACTCAGCCTTCTGTAAATATACATGCAAGTTTGGAAACAGTAATACTGTACCTATAAATATATGCTGTCTGTTTTGTGTACAGTATGTAAAAACTCTTTTTCTGCCACACTAAAAATGCAAGCCATTTATGGGAATCCTAAAAATAGTATTGTACTAAAACTTTGCTAATGATCTTTATTAGAGGATCATCCAACTTTTCACTTACATCGGGTTTTCTTTTCAATTCACTCTTACAGTAGTCTGCTTATTTCCAGCTGTTTGTTATTTTATTGAGTCCTGAATTTAAAAAAAAATATTTTGATTCATTTTGTACATACAAGCTGTAAAAAAAGAGAGATTTAATGTTGTCTTTTAAATACTCCGATTTTCATTCTAATATGAATGTTGTTATATTGTACTTAGAAACTGTACCTTTAATATTACATTACCTTTATTAAAAGTGCATTGAACACATCAATTTTAGATGTGCTTTATGTACTGTTATCCTATAATAAAATTTCAGCTTCTAATGGAACACTTGCCTTGTTTTTCTTCTTTTTTCTTGGTTCTTGAGTTGC